TGAATCAAAGAATTTTTATTGGGTACTTAGAGAAATTTATGGAGATTCTCCCAAGATAAACAGAAAGAATTTTGGAAGAGTATTTAAAAATGTAACTAGATACAGATTTGAAAATAATTTTGTTGATGCATCTAAATGATTACATAAGAATCTCAAATATGATAAACAATATTGCAAAAAGTTTTGACATTTTAACAATTAATTTGAGCGTTTTACATAATTATTAGAAACATGACTGATTACTTTCAGATTTATAGTTAGCTAAATTTTTAGATACTTTAACGATATCATCCTTTTCGACGAATCTCTATAAATTCCTTCAAATAATAAATATTATTTTATTCCTGTTAAACTAGCTGATTAGATGAAGTTAAAGACGAATATATATATATATAGATATAATCTTAATCTTCCTATTAATTCGCATGGTGTGAGAAATAATAATTTGCAAAGGATTAAGCGAGATTGTCTCGTGCTTTTAATGTAAGTCAAACAGAAGGAGCTGAAAATCCGGCTTTCCTCGAATTATACGCGATTCTCACCTGAATGTAGCCCTTTTGCGTTAATTGTACGCTGTGCATCGGCGTGCCGCCGAGATTTCTCTCGGCGCCGACAAGTTCGGTCGATGTTTTCGAAACCACCACAACGAGTAGGCTCAGAAGGATCAAGGACATGGAAGGGAGAATCCTGAAGTTCGTCATGAATTTCTTCATTTTTATCTGATCATCGTCCTCGTTGCATCTAGTTGCTGTCTCTTCAATCGCTTCGCGATGAAAGTTTGCTGTTTGCTTCTTACGGCTGTTCTTATGACTTCTTCTTCTTCTTCTTCGTATCTTTACTCTGAAGAGAAAGAGAGAGAGAGAGAGATTTCTCTCTCTTTTCGTTTCCTTGGCCCACTCTGGTCTTCTCTCCCTTTAATCTTATCCCGCGACTATCTGATCGCGATCACGAAAAGAGAATTGTCTCTCAACGTTGTCCCCTCGACTCTTCTTGCCGATCTTGTCTGTCGGTATCCCTTTTTCAGCCGCTGAAGAGAAAACATACGGCGCTGCAACTTCCCTCGTCCTCTCATCTACCGTCTTTCCGTTCAAACTGTAGAAAACTACCTGGCATCTCCGCCTCGTTCGCCAATCTTCCTTCACAGCTTGCCTTGTCGATTTTTTACAATTGGTCCCTCTGCTTCGCAAACTCTTTTTCGTAACCTTTTTCGCAACTTATCTCACTTGTCACTCGCCAAGTGACACTTTTCTCGATCAGAACAACGACACGCGGATTTTCTGTCCCCAATACAGACTTCGTCTTCTCTGGATTTTTCTTTTTGTTTGCGCTTGACGACAGGAGTAAGAAACTAAACTCGTTGTCGTGTATACTTTCTTAGTACACTCTACCCGATTGTCGAAAAACCGAAAGAGATCTTGTTGTTTATACCCTCTTTGCTCGATGTGTGACACCTTTGGCTAAAAGTACAAGACTCATGATCTTCTTTTCTTTCACACAGTCTCGACAGATGTCTCTCGGTCCTTGATGATCTTTATAATTAAAAGTGAAAAAGACTAACAACCGTGGACTTTTTCTTGTATATCTTCTCACTCTCTTTGTAGATGTATAAAAAGAGTGGAAGAATTGTCGTTTTTCTTTTCTTTTATTTGATGTATGATTAACGCCTGGACAAGTTGTTATTTTCCTTTCGTCTTGTTGCCGCTGAATTGTTTCTCATTTGCCAAAAAGAAAGGTGCACGTGAGTCTCGCCACAAAACTAAATAATCTCCTTTGGAGAGAAAAATTTAGTTCTTTCTCCTTTCTTTTCAACTTTCCTTTTTTTTCAACTTTCCTTTTTTTTTGTAGATTTTTAGATACAATCGTTCTTTGGGAAACCACTCTCCATTAATTAAATTCTCAGTTCAATTCTCTCCTATGTCGATAGACTTCTATCTCTTCCAGGCGATTCGCCCGGCGAGTAAGGCTAGTTGAACTCGCGACGACGGTAAACAACGACTAAAGCGAAATCGATGTGAATCGGCCGAGTGCGAGCGCGCGAGTAAGAATCGGTAAGAGGGAGGGACTTTTCGTGGCGGCCGCAGGTTAAAGCAGTCCATTTTCGTCATTGGGCTCGACATGTAATTTTCATCTCGATACGAATAAGAATAGACTACGAAGCTGGAGATTGCCTACAGATCGAACGCCCATATCAGAATGTCCATATTGAAATGCGCGCCCGATCGATTTCTTCTTTGCCTGATGTATATCTGTATATCAGACCTGTTCACACTTATTCCCATACCTTATATTTACCACCGCGTTTGTCACGATCGATTTCTGATACAGCCAGCGTAACGAAAACAAAGAAAAATTGCCGACAATTGCAGATATGTATATAATAAAGAAGTATGAAGAAATGTAGATATGAAGAAATATATTTACAATGGATACTTTTTGTTTGCGAAATAGAGGTAAAATAATATTCCTTGGCTAAAAGTATTAAGCATTTATATCTTTTTCACTTATGTGGAATTTACTTTACTGTATTTTTTCTATTCATTACCGATATTATAAAATTTAAAGAGTTCTTGAAACGAAGGATAATTTAGCAAAATAAATAAATCAATTTTTCAGCTAAAATAATAATTGATATTACTTTTGACTGTGGTATATAATAACTTTTGTAGACTGTGATATAAATATCTATAAATTTGTCGTGTTAGAGAATGAAATTTATGGCTACCGCGTTTGTCACGATTGATTTCTAATATACAAGCGGGATAACGAAAATAGAGAAAAATCGTCCAACAATTGCAAATAATGAAGAAATATAAAGAAATGCGGATATGAAGACGTATACTTACGATTACATCATGTTTTTTACTTCTAAAATAGAGGTTTTGAAAGATTCTTTCTCGAGAATAATGTGTTTTTTCCGGTGTTTTCAACAATAATTTAATACAATCGTAAGAATAGTATAAATGCGGTCACGTTCAAAAATTTATAAATTACGTTTCACCACGCTAACTCCGACATAATATGCAAGAGAAACAGGTTCATTTTATTAACCGTTTTAAAACGGTTGCCTTATGCGGGATCGCTAATCATAAATATGTTCCGTATGTGTCACGTAGTCTACTATATATGCGTTCTCCAGTTTTTTTGAACAATTTAATACAACATAATAGTATAAATCGCGGTTGTGTTAGAAAATGTAGTTCACCGAGAAAAATATTTGATTGAAAATGTACGAACCAGATTATATTAATCGGAATTCCGGTCACGTAATTGGACATCTGATTATCTCGACTAGAATTCTGATTGATATGAACAGAATCTACTGGTTCGTTTATTTTCAACCAGAATTTTTTCGCAATGTAATGTAAATCTACTGTGTTTGTCATGATCGATTTTCGATATAAACGAGATAACGAAAATAAAGAAAAATTGTCGGTCTGACAATTACATATAATGAAGAAATATGAAGAAGTGCGGATATGAGGAAATATATTTACAATTATTTAAATTATGTAAATTCTTTTTACTTTCGAAATAAAGATTTCGAAATATTTTTACTACACCCAGTGTATTTAAATTTTTTCAACAATTTAATACACTGGCAAAATGAATAAATTGCGGTCGCGTTAAAGAATTTATTGACTATATTTCATCACGCTAACTTGATTGTAATATGCGAGCGAAACAGTTTCATTTTATTAACCATTTTAAAACCTTATGCGGGATCACTAATCGTATATTTTGTATGTGTCATGCAGTCTGTGTGATCGATATGGGAAAGTGAATCTTTCGTGGAAAGTTGGCGAGACAAGCAGCGCGAAACAAACGGGATGATACGGCGAATAACTTAGGCATTCCATGTTGCAAGCGGCAGCGGAATTACAAACGCTTTATTGCGCATATAAATATTTCAAAGCGTATCGTGCATTTTGGAGCTAAACAGAAAGGTTCAAGGGTCTGCATCGTCGATCTCGCATTTAAAAATATACTTTACTCGAAAAAACATAAAAGCATGTATAACGAATTTTGTTATTATTCTTTTCATTTAAATTTACAATATTAAAATTTACAATATTAAAACTAGTTTACTCAGTCTTTGTTAAAATTTTGTGTTGAATTTTTTAAATAGAGTGTTATTTTAACATAATGTAATTGTATTATTTTATTATTCTATGTTAAATTGATATTCAACATACTTCTTAATGTTAAAATAACATAATTTCTAAATAAGACCAAATAATATAAAAATAATGTATTTTAAAATATAAATATTAAGATAAATGAATGTATAATATTATTGAAAATGTGTTAATTTAACACATAAATATTAATTTTAATGAAGAGATATTATTTTCTCTACAAATTGTGTCAGTGTTACGTTTTTATGTTAATTTTTTACATAATATTTATGTTACTTTCTAATATATTCATTCTATGTTAACATGAAAATTTCAATGGGTTGTTTGGGACATTCGAAATATTTTAACATGGATTGTTTAACTCTGTGCAAGTTAAAACCGTCATTCATCAAAATTCGTATGTGTAGATAACACATATAGTATATGGACAGTGTGCGTTAAAACGATCATAAAAACCATGTTGGAAATTCGCGTTGGAAAGCGCGAACGTTAACAGTACCGAGTCTTAAAACCAGTTACGAAAGCGACAGTCGGAAGACTTGTACATGGACAAGACTATCTCGACAAGATAACAATCCCGAACAATCTCGTTAAAGTATTTGTTTGCAAATGTTATAATACCTAAACGAGAATCGGTAATTAATTATAAGGAGAGTCTTGCAACTCCACGTAATTAGTACGTCTTGCTGGTTACCACAATTACCATATCGCCCTTTAATTGACAGAGTCCGACGTTTGTTACGCCATACGTCAATTAGGTTCATTGCTAGTCTTGATCGCCGTAAAAAATAACCGCGATTCCCCGGCCTTCGAATTATTGGTGACCCAAATTATACTTTCTGACAAGTACCTTTCTGATTGCAGACGGCCAAGAACTCGACGTCCGGCAGCGGATACTACGTGGGCGGAAGCAGCACCCTGCCACGCGGTGGGCCTCTTCTAAGGGCGTACAGCCCAGCGGCGTCGAGCGTCGGTCCAAGCGCGACCCCGACGCAGCCCAAGACTCTCACCACGCCAGGTATACGAATGTCCGCGTTTTCTATTTTTTCCTCGTTTCCACGTGCGTGTCATCGTGCACGCGCGTTGCGTATAAACACGAGTTTTGCTCTCGAGACCCTATCGACACGATTCATCAAACGAGCGGCCCAACAAAGCTCGAAATATCATATTTTTATTAAATTCCTGACATTACTGTGCGTCAACACGTGACATTTATTGTCGACTGTAAACCAGAAAATTCCTCGCATTAAATTTGAAGCGAACTCTTGAACATTTGTAGCTTAATTGGAATAATGTTTAATCATTTTACAGCTCTACTCTAAACAGATTATAATTGACTGTTGCAATTAATGTATGCAGGATTAGAGAGAAATTAATTTAATTTGTAGAATATATATTCCCTAGAATTATATATTCGTGATGAAGCTGTTAGTAATGAGCAAGATGTCGCACGTATTTTTGAAGAGATTATAGAGCGACAACTTTGGGCCGCTCTCAATGGGAATTTACCGCTTCGTGCGCCTGTGCATTTCCTTCACGCCTGCACCGATGTTCTCTGTAGTAGTAGACCATCCTTCTCATGAGATCTATGCAAATATATTATACCACGCCACGAGTAATTTCGCATTCCCTCAAATACTTTAGCTAAGGTGACCAGAAGTCTTCTGAAAACGATATCTAGAATCCCAAAATTTTCTCCGATTTTGAAAAATCGATGCGTATTTTGAAAATTGTAAGACAAAAAGGTTTTGCAAAATTCATGAAAAATTCAGCGAATTGGAATAAAAATTTGGATTCGATTTCTTTAAAAGGATTTCTTTCAGTGAGAAGAAATTACAAGGATTGAAAAATAGATATCCGTAAATATTTTTTTTTCTTATTATTAGAAAAAGTTTTATTCGAGTACAAGACAGATTTTATATGGACATAGTAAAATTCTGGTCGCCTTTTGTGCAACACGCTTAAATTGTTCGTCGATCCCAACACCTGTACGCGATATATAAAGAAATATGAATCTTTTATTGTTTTGCTGAAAATTGGTCGAAGCAATTATTCAATCGATTGAGTGACTGCAATTAGTTCATGCTGCAATTTACAGTGAGCATATAACTATACATATATATTAGGTGTTGGAATTAATTCGTAGCGTTTTACAAGTGATGGGAAGTACTTTCATTAATGTATTTTTTAATGCTCATGTGAAATAAATAACATTCTTTCATTAAAAAACGCTACGAATTAATTCCAACACCTAATATATAAGTAACAGAAAGCTAAGATAGGATTATATTATATATTCGCTTGGCTTTATAATCTGGAATAACTTTTACATTTTAATGCAACCGATAGTTAAGTTAACTAATTATCATTTTTTTAGAATAAATGACATACATCGTTAATAATATTATAGATATAGTTATATTTATTTGAATTTACATAACAATTGCTCTTCAATTTTTTGCCTTTGAAAACTTTAATGTAAATGACATTCCAATCTCGAGTAAATGTTATTCCTGGTGAAATCAAAATTCACTTGCTGTATTACAAGCTCTGGTATTTTAAATTATATTTCAAGATTGTTATCTTCGCGATTTAATTGGCTGGCAAAGAAAGATTGGTGAGAACAAGAAACGATTGTTCACAAATTAACGCACTTTTCTCTTGAAATCTTCCTGAAACTCGACCAATTTTTTCAAACGTGTACCTCGTGCTTTGAGCTTAAGCGCATATATCCGCACACAGACGCACACACTCGCAATCGCTCTTCATTCTTCATACTTCCGATCGACGGTTGCAAGGTCGTTTCGATTCTTAATCGTACAACGGAGATCGTTACGACCGTCGGCGTTTGGCCGAGCGCTATTCGAGAACTACTCAAAAACACTTAACAGGCTACCTGCTAGTCCAAGGGGAAAGGATGGCCTCATTTCTGACTGCCACGAGCGTTCTCCTTGTTGTCGAGAGAAACGTTTTACACGGAGATACCGAGAGAAACGGATTTAGGAGGCGTGAATAGCCCAATCGCACGCAGATCGATCGTGATTAATCATCAACCACTATGACGAGGCAGATCTATTTTGTAAAACACGCGAACGTCTGCTAAATGTCAGCCAAGAAAAAATGGTTAAACGGAAGCATTTTCTAAAGAAGACATTTCTCTTGACGCTACGATTATCGTGACGTGGTCGAGAAGTGCATGTATGTAAAAGTCGACAAGCTGTTACGTCAAAATTTCAATGACGTTCGTAATCGCGCGATTATATTTAAACTCGTAGTGCAAAACCTGGGTGCGTGACGATCGTCGAAAAATTTCTAACAAAGAAACCTCGCGAGGTGTCAAATTCTAATTCTAATGAGACTTTGTACACATAGGTTACATAAATAAATAAATAAATTTAGAAAATATCAGTTGAGGCTAATGATTTTAAGGAAATCATCTCTTATATGTTTCATTATATAGTTACTTTTTTTTGTTATATTTTTAAAAACATTTTTTGATATCTTGAATACTTTTCGAGATAGAATAAAAAAAGCTAGAAACCGCTTCATGTATGAGATGATTTTATTTCTTAGAAGTATTTATTAGCCGTATAATTGATTTTTAAATATTCATCTATTTATGTAACCCATATGTAAAATTTAACATTTTACTTAATAAACAAAATTTCATCAAAATCAAAATTTGACATTTTGTGAGGTTCCCTTGTAAAAGACATGACTGTATAAATTCTATCGCGCTTTTTCACTCGAAAGGTTCCCAGTCTCCCTTGACAAATCGCGCGCAATCGCTGCTTAGGAATGTTATCGCGGCCCTACTCGAGTCGGTTTTATTCACGTTTCGGAAGTATCGAACGTTTGTGTAGACACGCTATGTGAATTTCAATTGGATGTGGCACACGAAATCCGCGGTGAGAAACGTGAGAAAAATGGTCCGACTGCCGCGCGGATCACGGTACTCCGGTCTTGTTCACTTCTGCATGTGCACTGAACGTCGAACGGCTTAGCGGAGGGTGACGGAGAAACAGGAGATACGTACATCGGAGCATCTGGGTACATTGGTTTTTTGTTTGGTTTTTTGGATGGTTGGATAGGAGGTGTTGGCGGGGTGCCGCCGGCCAAGCCGCTTCGCAGCTACCAGTGTGGTAAGAGTCCCCTTGGAAGCCTCGGGGGCTCGGCGCGCTTCTCTAGAGACAGCTCGGTCTCCCTCTATAGTATACCAGGTCAGTAGTATCCTTAAACATTCGTCAGACACAGCTCGATCCTTCCGCGACGGGCCGCGATCGCGGGACGATCGCCAATAACACGCTTTACGGATTTCTCGAACTGATCTTTGATGTCTGAAGCTCACGTGCCACAAGCTATAACACCTTCTTTGAGCTACACTGCAACAAAAGCGACTGCAAATGTATGTGTGTTTTAACAAAAGTAAAATGTCCGTTGAATGAATTATGTATATAAAATACACATATGCGATACAGAAATACTTCTACTTAAAATCCATGAAGTATATTACCAAGCAGACTGCTGATTACTAATATTACTAATAACCAGGATTGAGAAAGTTACTTCGTAAAAGTAATGAGTTACAATTATAGTTTTTTTCTCTTAAAAAGTTCTTATTAACTAGTTACTCGTTACAGTTGTAAGTTATAATTACTTAAAAAGTTATAAATTGTTTCTTTTCATTTAGTTTTTTTGTTATTTATATTTTCATCTTAAATACAAAAATCTTATACATTTCTAATACAATATTGAATTATTTTACTTATATTTATTTACATGCTATATTACATAATAATAATATATACATTTGGAATCAAAGTTATAAATTAAAGTATTAATTATTATAAATTATAGGATTAATATTAAATCGCCTTCATGTACTAGAAGGCTCTTAATTTAATTATTAATATAAATATTTACAGAATATAATGATTTTATCAAGGATAAAAATATATTTCAATCATAAAGAATTATTATTAACTATTCATTAAACATTTTATTTTAGACATTTGTTTGAGGAATAAGTTTTATATAAAGTAACTATTATAATTATATTTAATATTAAGTATTAAATTAGTTACTAGTTAAAATGTAACTAAGTTAAGTTGCAGTTATAGATAGAGAGAAAGAAACGAAGTTGAGTTACAGCTACTGAAAAAAAGTAATTCTAACTGTAACTTTGTTACAAGTAACGAGTTACTTCCCAACTCTATTAACAGTGTTCTAGTAAATACACAACTATCACACGCTTACAACTAATTACTAAAGGGCAAATATAATTAAAGAAGGGCTAAATAGATCTTAGTATTTAATAATATTTTATATATAAGTCTTAAATATTTTCCAGTTATTCATATATGAATTGCGTGCCAATTATTTAAAAATGTCAGACTTAAAAAACAATTATAAATAGAAGTTAAAATAATATAATAATGAAATTGACCGTCAATTTGATAAGGATATTAATAAATGTCTTAAAACACCTTTTTATATATATATATATATATATATATATATATAACATAAATTTTATAAAACATTTTTAGCAATCATAGCACTCACTTTTTATACGGTTTCCAGTTAACAATTTTTATAATATCATTTATTCTGATACAAAGAGAGATACGATAAGCTTTGTAAATTTTGTACGGCACAATCGGTTGCGTATATGAAATGAAATAGAATTCAGTTATAATGCAGAATAAAATCTAGTTACTCGCGAAAAATAGCGTTATTTATCGTTGTTTTCACAACGGTTATAATCCAAGTGGTAGATAAATCTTGGCAGGCTTGATATACATAAGTCCTTTTAAGATCGCAAGCTAATCTTCGTCTGTCCGAAATTAGTAAACGTACATTGTGAACGAGAAATCCTTTTATATCTTTTACGGAAGAAAGCCATTGGGCGAAGCCCAATAATGGTACAAGCTATGAGCAAAGAACTAATAAATTTCAAACGTAACAGATATGACAAAAATGTAGCAAATGTGGCGTATTTGTAATAAGGAGCTGAATCATGGGGATGGTTGGTTTGGAACGCAGAAAAATCATGAAATTGGCAGTGAAGCATGAATTCGCGATTAACCAAACTGGGTCGAGTCAAGTTTTAATTAAACGACCTCGAGACCGTGGAAATAGTGTTGGGAATAAATATGAATGGAATCGAAATGTTTTGAATTCGCGTGAAATTTATGCCGTTGACATATCGCGCGAGGAAGGAAAACTAAAACTTTCTTGAGTATTGTAGAACTAACTTCTCTCGAAAATTGGTTTGAAAAAATTAAAATTTTATGTAATGAATTATTCACTTTTATTCGCCTTTTATTTTTTGTCAATCATAATTTGACCAAAAATATTTACCGTAGCGTCTAATAATTTATTTTATTTTTTTTATTTAATTTAATGCAAATATAAACGTAAAAGGAAATTACATTGGTAAACCATATTATTGTTAGTAATTTTGTTCGTAATTAAATTAATTAATGGTTATGACATAACGTACGTAGAAAGTGCAGAGCCATTACAAAATTACGTGATTTTACGTATTATAAAGCCATTACAAAATTACATGATTTTACGTATTCCCAACACTAAAGCTAAATCCCTCATGAACATCTAGAAACATCCTGCGTATGACATTTCCCTTGTACAACGCTGTGTGATATCATAATGTACGAAAAGCAGCATCTCTTTCATCTCATTTTTCATCCGCTCCCTCTCACTCGAGAACTGTAGCTGTATGCCCTCCCGTAAAAAGCACGATCGTGAAAGATCTTTTTTCGAATCCTCTCCATATCATAATGACTGATATAAATGACGTTCCCTCGTCGAAACGGTCCTCTGATTGTAATTTCATTTGCACATTTCGCGCATCACGAAACTCATACTCGACGGAGGTATCGAGCCAAATATAGTAGATGATAACAATCATAAAAAAAACTCTTGACAAACACAAGGAACGTTGTAGAACAAGTAGAACAAGCGTATGAATTTCTTTACCATTAAGTTTTAATAAAATAACTGCTAATTTTGTTTTGTTTACCAATCATTTGTTGGCTGTAATCGTTTATTAAGACATGTTTGGTTTTTTGATTGATTATTGTTTAAGAATTAATATTTTACTTTTGATATTTTTCCCACTTGTTTAATTCTGGAATGCTATCGTATGTAAATTTTATATACAAGTGAACAAGGTCATTGAACGTTAAGTTACGCTTTCGGTGATCAGGAATAGTCTTTAGAAAATCAAAGATTTATCATGGATATGGTCTAATTGGCTATTACATATTGAGATAAAAAATTGTGATCGCGACTAATTGATTAATCTATATTTGATTTAAAGATTTTGATGTTTGAAGAATTTAATCACGAGGAGATTCAATTTGTCAAACGAGGATATGCTTTTAAAAATTCGGTTTTTTTTTCTAACAAGGAACGTGATAAAGTAATAGATTTCAATTTTTTTGTACAGTTTTGTGTTATTATAAATTTTATTTATTGATGTGTTGAGAAGACATTGGACTTATATTTTATATTAACTCAAGATTGAATTTAATAGTATATTTATTTTTTCTTTCCCTTTAATTAATAATTATGTTATATGTATTTATAATATATAAAGGTCTAGAATATAAATATTTTGTCAAAAGTGAAATGAAACGTATAAAAATCTTACGTTAATTCAGAGCGGTATAGTTCCTTGCATATAAAATGTATGTATCAAGAGCAATCTGTATCATTCAATATTGATAACGTTTTAAGATTAATTGTTATTGTTTAATTTCTAATGTTATCACGTGAATATCATTAGAATATAATGTCCACTTCTATCAATGTAGATTAATTTTAATCTCGGTCTAATTTATTTTTATCTTTTCCTAGTTCTGAGAATTAGAAAAGGATAAAGAATCAGTTAAATAACCGAGATTAAAACTAATCTACATTGACAGAAACGAACATAAATCTCTCTGTGTACATAATAACGGATTATTATTCTCCAAGCAGTCCAATGCAAAAATGCAACGCAGAGATGCAGATGCAAAGAGAGAACGTTGATGGTGCTCTCCACGTTGAGCTTCACTAATACACGAATCACTAAATCTCTGCAGATCGGCTACATGGGGAAAGCGGATACATGAGCAGCCCCGAGCGCGGCGGCGGCGTCGGTTCCGGAAGCGGAAGATATCCACCCGGACCTTACAGCGCCGGCAGCAGTTACGAGGATCCGTATTATTCGCAATACTCGGGGACTGTTACGCCTGTCATCGACGAAGAAGCCAGGTAATCAGAATCTCGCGCAGTAAAAGCAACTCGCATTTGTAATACCGAAAAGGCACAGTGTGATATGACTTTCCTTATAAAAATTGAACACTGGAAGGTAACGATTAATTACTTAGATTGAGAATTAAAAATATCGTTTCATTGAGAAAAATTTGTGGTTAAAAATGAACGAACCAACATATTCTGATTACATTAATCAGAATTCTGATCATTATAATTCTGCTTATCTCGACTAGAATTCTAATAGATTTAATCAGAAAAAAATTCTGATTTGTCCATTTTCCACCATTCCAATTAATGTAACTTGACTCTTTTTGTGTGTTCAGTGCATTTAATATTTGAAATGAGTAATTAATCACTGTCTTTTAGTATTAAATTAGCCAGTATTAAATTTCTGTATAATTGACGCAATTTTTTTATGTCTCGGAACAAAGAGATGCCCCAAACTTCCACGATTTTTTTATCTGCAAATTTCTCTGACAATTAGTAATTATTCATTAAAATTACATCGGGAATTCCTTGAGTTAACAGATGAACGATTTAAAAACTTAAAGATCTTCGATAATTAAATTCTAAAAATGCAAATGATAGAAAAATTTCATTTTTCATTTAATTATACACTGACTGTTCAAATTCGATAAAATTATAATATACTTAAATTTTTATGCTGCGCTGTTGACGACTGAATTTCTAAAATTAAATTAATTTGTAAAAATAAACGGATGAATTTATTATCGAAAGAAAAATGTAAAAAATTTATATTACTGTACATATAAAGTTTAATAGGAGAAGAATAACTATTTAAATGCGATGATATATAGAATGTAAACTTCATTACATCGAAATTCATTTCATTCATTTTATTAACGTCAATATTTCATTTTACACAGAATAGATATACATTTATTCTCTCTCTGCTTAAATACTCCGAAACTGATTGAATTTATTAAATAACCGATTATATAATGTCATTGCGTCGCACGATGATCCAATGCCGACAATGTATTTTTTGCCTCGACAAATTATTGACTGGGTATAAATGCACGAACTAATTTGTTACATACAACTTTTTTAATAAGAGATCCAGCACATTTATCCATGTAAATACAGTGACTCTGTACAATCCGTTTGAATAAACTCATCCGGAAATCCCGATCCGCTCATCTTTCTAGTCGCAACCTCTTTCCTAGGAAAACGTTGTTTCCGGTCTCACCCATCCCGAATGATTGAAACCCCCCCTAGTCCCCACTGACGCTGGTCTCCGCCACTCCCCACTGACGCTGTGACCTCCTCCACACGGATGTCTGATAGCGCGGATGTGTATGTCTGTTGTGGGTGGTGCAGCGATACGGAGCTGTTGGAGGAATCGTACAGCCTTTACGGCGTGAAACCACCGGGGCGTCCGCCGTCTGGTCCCCCGCGGTCCCCGTTTCCTCCGGGGGCGCCGCCACCCTTGCCACCCGGCGGACAGGGCTACGACGCTACTCGGTACTGCACCCCACGTCACGCACACTCTGTCGCTTGCGTGTTTGTCTTGCGTAGAGGCCTGCCTGCGCAGAATAAAAAGGAAATGAAAATAAAGAGAGAAAGAGAGAGAGAGAGAGAGAGAGAGAGAAATGAGAGAAAAAAGAGGAAGCGGGAGAAAGAATTGAAACCATCCGAGAATCGTGCCACGACCGGCTCTGGCTGACTTAACTAGCTAGCTGGCTGGCTGTTTGCGAATGAATACGAGTTGCATGAGCATCGTTTCGAGCGAACTATCCCCTGAAAGCGGAATGCTAGTGAATCCAGGACTCTTATTGGCAAAAATCTTTCTTGATCTCGGAAATGAACTTACACAATTTTTACAAACACAGCTAGAAACTTTTTAAGTAATTGTGTTAGATCGAAAAGAAAATTTAATGATTCTTCAGCTCTATTTGTTCAGTATCTGGATTCATCAATGGAAAAAAAACCAGGGATGGATATATTCGATATTGTTGTTCTATTGCATTTATTGTTAGTAAAACATAACAAAATGTTCTCAAAATTTTATCAATCAAAAGTCTAACAATTATTTAGCATCGTGACTTGATAGAATATAAAATGATGATGATACAAAATCATTTTTTTATAAATCTCTCAATATTAATGAATTTTCTTAACATGAGAGAAATTTGCAAAATTTGTGTCGATAGTTAAAGATTTGTCATAAAAGGGTAACGTCTTTTTGTATAATTTTAATCATTTATAAATATAGTATTATTATTAATTATATATTTTTTTAGATGACTTAATCCAGCTAGTAATACATGCATTTATATTTTAATTATTTTATTTTTATTTACAGTTTATTAATATTTATATTTATTAATATTTATATTTATTAATATTTATATTGTGTTTATATTTATATAAAATATTTTGTTTGAAGAAATGTCCATCAATCAATAAAATATTTTTATGTAACTCATTTCACGAAGAAATGAAATATTTCCAGCCATTAAATTACTATTCAAAGTTTTGCTATTAAACTGCAATATTGATCGGTATCCATTGCTACATTTATAGGGAATGATAGCGTCATTTAAATTATTCGTTTTTATTCTTTATACAAGTATGTTCCCTTTCTTTTATATTCTTCATACCTTTTTCACACCTTTTGCCTAACGAAAAACATTTATAAATTTTATACTTATATATTTTGCGGACTTTGCAGTTTCGCGTTTATCAAAACGAGCCGTTTCAATGTGAAAACTTTTCAATCTCGTCTACAGAACTAGAGAAAATTTGCCATTCCAGAATTAACTCGATCGTTATACAAATATAACATCCGCATTCGTAAAATGTCAGCTTGCCCGATCGGATCTGAACGCTAACGATTTCTATCTGCACAACTTTCATTTTTTTTTTGCCAAGTTGAGTAATTTATAGAAATTTCATTACGAGTCTCTCGAACGAGAGGTACGTATTCCCTTTTGAACACTACCATTTCCTTCTCCACGCAAAGCAGGAACTCTGTCCATAACGAATTGTCTGCAAGTGCATGTTGTAAAGTCGGATATCTTAATTTAGTGATCATGAAAGAGAAAGAGAGAAAGAGAGAGAAAAAAAGAGTTGCCACTACCAATTTCATCGAGTTATATCTCTTGAGGCAAAGGTAGATCGATCAGTGGCACGATTCTAATGAATATGTACTTGGAAAGCGGAAGCGACTATTGAATTCACTATCACTACTTTTATCGTATAAATCACATTTTTATAATAGGCCAAATATTTGTATAAATTGTATAATATATTAAATAGAATTTTTTAATTAATTCATTATATAATTGAGATGTACACTTTATTTTGTTTAAGTTAATAACTAAATATTAAAAATTTATATTACTTTGCGCAGAAAGAAGTTTCAATTTTATTATATTTAACACGCGATTATGATCCTTCTGCGACTAAAAAAAAATAACTTTGCAACTTTATATCTTTCCACTTCTCAAATACACATGAAGATATCGTTTGTATAATACTGATATTTTCGTAAATCACTAAAATCGCTAAATTAGGTTTTAAAGTATGTTTTTGTAAAGATTAATTTGTATATTAGAATATATAATATTAGAAGAAAAACAAAACTTTTTCTATCTATTGTAGAATTCAGAAATAGATTTTAGTATGACATAGTATTACACAAACGACAAATAGCATCCTATGTAGTATGTCACGGATAATATGGGAATATAAATTAACTCTCTGACGATTCTTCAATTAATTTTTCAAATTGAGTTTTACTTTAATTAGAACATTATTTAATATTTACAGTTACTAATTTAATTTGAATTTTACATGAAAATATAAATTAATATAAGTAACGCAAATAAATAATTTTTCAATTAATCTTTATATAATTCTTTTAATTAAAATTTTATTTTATAATTAATTACAAAAGAAACTAATAATAAAATGATTGTTAATGCATGCTACATACTATACATGTATTTTATAATGCCCATATTTTTCAGAACGTTCTACATTTGCAAAATAATTACGCTCTCTATTACTCAAAAAAGTAAGATGTGTGTATGGGTGTGTGTGTGTGTACTATATATGTAAATAATTAATGTGCCTCAAAGAATATACATATATACATATATATATATATACATACATATATATATAATACATATAGAAATGATATAATTTGCAACTCGGTGGAATGCAGCATGCCGACTAGCGATCGTAGACGAGAATGCATTGGTTATATACAGGGTGTTTTGCACGTGAAAAAAACTACGGAAAAAAGAAACGGATCAATACACAACTACAAGTTACAAATTTTTTTAACATGCGTTTGAATAAATTTAATGAATGGCATAACAGTTCACGAAATTCTTTACAATATTTATCCCCGTCTAATGAAGCTGACATGATAATCAATAACATTTGTCTCCTATTTCTGCATTATTTCCATAATAATCCACATATAGAAATCACTTTAATAATAATATTGTTTTATTATTATTATTTTGTATAACGTTCCAGTGTTACTTTATGTTACATTTGCATGAAGAGAGATAAGTATAAGAAACTCGCATTTGATAATAACTTCTAAATATCAACGAAAAAGATATTTCTTTCCACAAAACGCATCGATAACGATACTTATCAGATCTTAAAAACATAACGCAATTGCTCTCGATTCACATTTTTGATAAATTTCTGTTAGCGATGTAGATACTCGAAAGTTGTTGCGAACATTTGATTCTCATAAAAAAACTTTCTATACAGAGTTAATGCTATGCCGCGAGTAGTGTATATCGGGAAACTAAACTGGATACTTGTCAACTGTCCAAACTCACTTCTCTCACTTCTGCACGACTTTTACAAAAGTTTGTATCAAGCCGAAACTGATCGCCATGAAAATCACGTATCTGGCCTGATCCACACCACATATATCACCCTGTATATCATTTTACGTACTGTCACACCGTGATGTAGATTGGGCACTGCTGTCACTTGTCATGTGAAACGATAGATGCACGTGATTAGCATCGTGTTATGTAACTCATATCCGATTTCACTGACAGGATATATATATTCGAAAATGAAGATTTTACCATGTGTCGCTGGTGCATGACGAGAGAATCTCTTTCGTCAAAAGGAATTTTCCCACATAGCACAAAAGTCAATCCAGATAGCATAGAATATTCCAGCAATATTGCAGGAATGTTATAGAATTGTTGCAGTAATGCTGGAATGTTCTGTGCCATGTATCTTTTTGGTGAAAACGGATATAGTAGAGTCTATCAGTATTTATTGTTAGTACATTGTGATATGAAGTGTCTCGACCTCTTACTATAGATCGAATGCCAAAATGTTAGATTATAATGATAAGTACTCGCTCAGCAAAAATGAAAGATATCTTTCTTGCTTACTAAAATGTTCTTTATTCAAAGAATATCTGATACAAATATAATGTACATTAATATCTTTGACCAATCACCACTTTTTCATGACATTGATCTTATATCATCTCATTACGTTTTATATCACATTCAGCTTATCATTATCATCTTCATTATTATGTAGCACTCTAGCATTATGAATAATGTAGTTTAAGATAAAATTTCATTTGATAACGGAACTTAGAAATCGAATTTCTTTTATTCGATATTTCTTTTCAAGAAACGCGTTATTTGTGCAAATCGAGACAAATCAAGGCAAAGATCTTAAAAAATTAAAAGAAAATTAAGTCTAATATTTTTACAGTGATGTTTTTTTTGTTCATTGTATACACTGAGAAAAAAATATAGCAATATCAATTATAAAGATGGCTACACAAATTTTATATGAATTAATGTATATAATTAAATAAACTATTTATGGTTGTAATGATTATGAAACAATTAACTATATGTAACTACATTAATTCTACATAAAACTTATATAGTTGTCTTTTATAATTGCTACTACTATATATTTTTCTTTTCTCTGGGTGTAATATAAGTGTGCCATCTTCATTCTAATTGATCGATTAACTAGAGGTATGTTCGAGAAGACGCTGTTAGTGCTATTTGTGTCATTCTATCTTCATCGTTCATTACACATAAAATAAAAATAGAATGACACAAAAACGCACTAAACCCAAATACGATAAAAGCAAGATTTCTTTTGTTCTGTATCCGATGGATTATTTGTCGTTAGCGCATGAAACTATCTGAAAAGAGATCGTGATACGTAATATCTGTTTAAAGTAACTGTGATTCTTGCAGCATCCAAGCGTCGTTGTTCGCCGAACGCCTATACATTTTCGGAGCTCTCCATTTCTTTTTTTTTTTTAGAGCGACGGATAAATCTGTTGTTAATCTGACCATTTCCTGACCCAGAATTATCTGTCGCAGGATAAGGGTGGAGCACATGGAAAGACAACTGGCCAATCTAACCGGGCTCGTGCAGAAGGCACTGACACACGCGCCGCACACCAGCCCTTCGCCGCGAGAGTACTTGCAAGTCCCACCGGGACGTGATCCTTACGCGAGAGCAGCAGGTACGTGTCCAGTAAAATCTCTGATCTCGTTTCCTCCTCCAAATTTCTTTCCGTACCTTCGATTTTGCTTTCACGATAACGTCGTTTACCACGGTTTTCGTACCGACGTAAGAAGGTTCGTCTCAAACGTAGCGAGAATAATTGATTAAAAAACATTTGTTTAGTTTGACCAGAAATAGCAAATTACAATTATTCTCATTACTTTTAAGACAAGCCGCGTAAATACCGTTATAGTTTCTCTTGAGAGGTCTAATCTGAATAAAGACGATCGATTTAGCTGTTTAGTGATGCCACCTCGTTCATTCCCTTTCAATGCTTATTTTACAGAAGGTTTTAGAGCGCAATTCACTTAACTCACTAAGATAGTTTCAGCTAAGAAGCATACGAGACTGCTAGACACCTCATATAAAGTAGTCTCTACTAACATTCATCTTGTTCGTTTCATCCGTGCCTGTTCATCTATTCATCTTCATCGTCTTTCGACTCTGACATCTTGTAACCACGGTTTTAGTAACAATATGCCGCAAATACATTTTAGAAATCAATAGTCGATAGATATTGAGAACAAGGCGGCTACGTCGAGTTTTTTCTAGCGCGCACTGCTATTTTTACTACATACTCTAAACAATTATAAATATTATAAATATAAAACTTATGAAAAATATAATTTCGAGAAAAATTGAATTTTCTCATACTATCGTATTAGAACTGTAAAAACAAAATGAGACATAGAGCTAGAAATAAATGTTTAATATCAGAAATATCCAGTATATTCATACAAAAGTAGGCAACAGTTTTTTGATGTTTATGCCACATTATATTTTCGGTTTGTGACAAACGTCGTGGCCGCCTTTTAGATAAGTCAAGATTCGCTAAAACACAACTTTAGATATAAACGTGCATACGTATACATATGTGTTGCATACATACATGCAGATATACATATATATTAGGAGAATTTATGCCGTGAGCTTTACGCGCCAGTAACAATATGCCATTATTTGTAGCCAGCGTAATTAAAAAATGGAATTAACGAAATTAGAGAAACATTGGAGTATCACTTAGCAATATTTTCAGTGATATCAACTGTAATTAGAATAATATAAATAACGAAATAAAACGGTTTTACAAAAAATAATGAATTAAATAACGTTAGAAGTGCAAATGTTCTACTCGATTATTATCAAATAAAAATAAAATAGTAATTTTATATAAATTCTCTCGATAAATATTAAAAGAATTATTGGTACTTGTTAATTTCTCTTAATGTATAGTAACGAATCCCGCAAGAAATTGTCTCAGCCAGAATTTTGTCCAATAATTTTGCCAATTGAGCAAGACTGCGATCGTGATCGTGATTGACTTTTCTCAGCGAGCTTTGTTTCGAGTTTAAATATGCACGCTGGCAAATATTTTCGCGTAAGCTTGGAAAGCCGCTTCCGAGGACACTGAGTCTGGTTGAATTCGACGGCATATAGTTGCGGTGTAGTCTCACGGACTGAACTCTCCTAAAATCCTGCTGTACAACTGCTTTGTTATTCCGACTAACGCACACACCAGGCGCCGGGGACGAGTTCGACAAACACTCTAGCTCCAGCTCTGCCTCACTGCCAGGTGTGTCTCTCATCTTCTTCTATCTTCTATTCACCTCCGAATCACTGTATAACCGCTACTTATATATTTACATACGTTAATCTTTATATATATATAACATACAGATATTACAGTTTCTATCTATTTTTATATATTATATATATTTTTATATATATTTAACGTTGTTTCTACCTTTATTGCTGTTAATAAAACGCGTGTCCTTTAAAATTCAAGTGTCTCAACCTGCCGTTACAGATGACTCGTACTTAAGGACTGACGTTAAACCGCCAAAATTAGGCAAAGGTGCGCTTCAATATGTATACGTTTCTTTTATGTATGCACTTTTGCGAATGTTCGCCGCATTGTCGCCTTTTATCTCTTGCGTTGTCATCGTTGCACGTCTCGCACACACATCCGTGCCGTATTTTTTCTTCTCGCTCGTACGATCCTGATTTCATGGATTTCATCAATAAATTTCAATAGCATCAATATTTTCAAATTTTCGTTAAATCTGCTCATTTGCAATTGTTCTATTTTTCTATTATTTTGCTTGTTATATTTATAATCAAATCGTTTATTGATAACTTCTTTTTTATTTCCCGTGGAGTGAAATGCCGTTTTAAAAAAGAATATTATTATTCAATTTATAATACGTTATGGCCGGTATTCGTAGTCGATTTTTATGTCTAAGACTGTCTTAAGTACAGATGTATCATAAGATGTTATAATCACAGAGGTGAGATAGCATTTTAAGACGTTACTTAAGACCAGTGATTTGAGCAATGTGCTGAGTAGACTATTCAAGTTCAGTAAATATGAGAAAAAAATTTTTTTTAATTAATTAAATTTTTTTAATTGAGATAATGTTGTTCATAAATAATTTAAAGTCACTAGATAGAAAGATTAAATTTGCTTTCTAATGTTATTATGTGAAATATACTTATTATTTTATTAATTTGTGCATTTTGTATGCTTTTTGCTTTTTTTGTACTTCAAACAAAGAAATGATTTTTTTAAGATTTCGAGAAAATCTATTTTTAGTTAGTTTAATATAATTGTCTTTAAAAAAATTTTATTAAATGACATCTAATCTTAAAAGAGCGCTTGAAATATTTTAGCCTAAAATGAGTTGTGACTCTATTTAAGATGGCCTTGAAATAAAAATTGATTATAAATATTGACTTAATGTTTCCTACAATCATCCATAATTTTCGTTTGCATGGTGCACGCGCCGAAATCTCCTCTTCACGATCGTTTTACTCAGCGTTGGCTTTAGGGGTGATTCGCGAAAGTATCTACCCGTAGCTTTCCAGAAGTAAAAATCGTAAACTGTTATAATTATATTAATTAAAACACTTACAAATTAGTTTGAATAAAAAGAGTCGATGAAGTAAGCTGAAGGAGAACACGAAGTTTGTGCTTTCAGCTTAATTATATATTGCGCAGAGTTGTAAAGTGAGATTCTTTCAACCGAACGGGAAAGGTATTCCGAAAGCCCGCGCTGGTTTATTCCTCATTATCGACGTCCATCCCGACTGGATGTACACGCCTTCATGTACACGCTTCTTACGCTTCTTACGCACATATATCACGCGAAAATATGCTGATCAACATCTATTGCAGACAAGTCGGTGTCGTTTGAAAAGTCAGTGTCCTTCAGTGACGAGCCACCAGACATGAACTCCCCCAAACAACATTCCCCGCAACATGCAGGTAACGGCTAGCGCACTTCACATTAAAAAAAAAAAAAAGAAACAAAATCGCAAATTATGTATGCTAAGCACGCTGTAAAGACCGAATTGCACCGTTGTCGGATCACTTATTGAGGAAGTGGACGTTCGTCTAAACGCTAGCATCGCAAAACGTTAAATTCGGAAAGAACTCTCGTTTTATGACAATCATCAAATATATGCGTAAATTTTTAAGTAATACTATTCTATTCCTAATATTATTCTTTTAATTCTTTAGATTTTATTAATAGGACTGATAATGACAAATTTTTTCTCCTGCGCGTGCATTGAAATCCAATACAATTAAAAATTGTGACGACGACGTCGATCTGTTCCTGTTGAAATAATAGAAACTGTAGCAATTTAAAAACGATGAGAATTTGTGTTATGATTAGTCGTTTTGCAACGAGCTGGAATTGGATGCAATTTCGCTACGGGATAATAATTGAAGTATCTGATCTCGATTGAAGTTCGATTGAAGATTGTCACAAGTAGACCTATAATCACAGAATCTGTGTTGCTACTTTCAAAATCTTGCGAAGTTCTCGATTCGTGCTTCACTCCCATTCGATTGATTAACGTGAATAATTGCTTGGTCACATTTAGTAATCGTTCTTTCTATTACATTTACATAATAGATTCATAATAATACTAAATGAATCTGTTAATGGTCTGATAATGAATCTGGCACGTTATGACATATTTTCTTGTGTCTTTCCCAATATCGATCTTCGAACGCTAATAGCATATTCTTCAGAAATAACACAAATGAAATGATTTTTATATAAATAATTATCGAAATATGATTGGTTATATTCATCTATATATTTTTTACGTTTCTCTACCTCCACAATTTCGTTGAGCGGAACAATATAATAATTTTTCCATTTTTGAAAAACTTCATAAGAATAATATAGAGAGTTAATACATCTGCATTGTTTTAATGTTTCCAATTTAAGAGAAAAAGCAAAAATTTATAAAAAAATATTGCATTTCCAAAATGCTTATATATATTATGACATATATTAATATTAATTTCGATCAACTTATATCATTATTTCGCCTAACGAAATTGTTTAATCTCCTATTAATATTATGCCAATAATTGTTGACCGATAATAATTAAAAATAGGTATTCTAAAATACGATAATTTGTTTTTGCCACTTCCTACGATTACTCAGTAATGAATATCATATTCAATGTTCAGTGAGTACGATGTTAGTGATAAGAACTCGATTTAATATCGTAAGAAGATTTCGCACAAAGGTATATTTATAAAGCAAACGATTCCGACACGGATACTAACGCAATAATTTCTAACGCCTTCTCGTATTCGATTCTGCAATGCCTACCACAACTAGCGGATACAAAACCCACGAAACCGGCAATCAAATCCTCCACGTTGCCGAGGATGTCGTCGCAAGGTAAAACTTCCCCATCTTTCTATTAGAAGTGGAACTATTCGGCAATTTTCTTTGTATATTTACGAAATCTAATATTTTCATCAATATGAATGAAACTTAAACAAAACTTATATCTAGAACTGTATTTTCTCTTGAAATACTTTTATTTTTCTCATTTACAAATACCTCTCTCTCTAAAGAGAGAGGGTTAATATTTTTTAAATTATATTTAAATACGTTTTCAAAATTATTTCATTATTCCAATGAGATAAAATAAAAATAATATTGTATTAAGCAATTTATAAATATTTCATCAAAAGTTCTCGGAAATCGGATATTTTATTACTAAAGATTTTCATAAACCTTTTAAATATTCAAATATTTTAGATTATTTATTATTTATTTAATACGATTATATATAATATGATTACAATAATTTTAAAACAATCGAAATAATTAATTTTACAACTTTAGCCACAAATATAAAGCACCCTCAATTTATTGCATTTTCTTTGAAAATGCGGTAATGAAAGCCAAAGGAGAGTTAATAAAATATTAAAATTGTTATAAAATATTATTTTTCAACAAAAACTGTTTTTTAATTTTTTTCGTTAGACATGAAACACTTTTACGTACAATTATAAATTCTCATAGAAGGTGCTTTATACTTACGATCAAAGTTGTATTATGTTATATCCGAATAGTTCCAGTTCTAGTGTCTATGCTTCTTCCCTATGTGTCACGCTATGTCTACCATATTTATATGTTGTTCACATAATGCGCGTCGTGTCGAATCTTCTTCGGTCGTTCCGTCGTTTCGAACTCTCTTTCTCTTCCTTTTTATTTTCATTCGTTTCTCGCCTCCCGGGACGACACTGTATGGAGGGCACCGGAAAATTGTAAGTCCATTCACGATAAAAAGCTGAGACGAGCGCTGCTGCACGTCGACGTTGCTGGATTTTAAATGAATTAATATGTTCATTTCCATGTAAATCGATTTTTAAAGTATGCCGTATGCGAGGAGAAAAAAAGGCGAGTGCTGGCCCACAATCCAGGCGCAAAGCGAAAAATAACTAAAACTAAATCAAGCCACGTACGTACAAATAAATCCGTTCGTATGTGTTCATGTGAAACTACTCATCGGCAATACATGAAGCTCGCAGAAGTTACTTTGAAAAACATTTCGCATTTCATATCAGTCACATTCAGTTACCGGCGAATGTTATTTACTGTCTCTCTTTCTCTCGGGAATTCTCTCCAATTTTTTTTTTTTTTTTTCGAGAATATTTGCAAGACATCGCGCGTTTGGACCTCATGTTTGAATGAAAAATTCTTATGCCTCTCTCACTGTGCGTCTCTTTTATTTCAAGCCACACTCAGAGAAAAAGACAAAGCAGAGGTAGCAACTATATAGACGATAACTATTCAAATTTTATACGTATACATTTAGTTGAATAAATTATTTTATACATTATTGCAATTATAAAATAATTTATTCAATTGTGTTAATTCTGTATGTAAAACTTGTAACTATTTTATAGTTGCATCAATTATAAAATAACTTATTCGACTATGTATGTACATTGATTCTTTTTAGGCTTCCGGGTACTTTCTTCAAAGAAGTTATGTGGTTTGCGACTTATTTGCGTCTTGATATATCATTAAGCATCAATATTTCATGAACATTCCAGCTTATTAATTCTAATATACATTAATTCTACGTACATAGTAATTAGTAATTAACACAGTAGTTAATTTTTACAAACAATATAAGAAAAATTCGAGGCTGGCTCGAAATAAATCAATTAAAATTAATTGTCTTTACAAGCCGACACAGAATAACGAATGTGTAAATAAATTTATTCATTAAACAATATATATGCAGACGATATATATACGTTTCGATCCTAAGTTCGGTTTCTCTTCGGTACATTTTATGTATAATCTTTATAAAACTTGTATAAGTTATCAGCTAATAGTTGCTATACCGCTGTAATTTCTTTGAGTGCACGTATCATTCGATCACGGTCGAGAAAGCGTGACAGTGCCCTTTTCTATGTGCCCTTCATATATCACCTCGTTGACGAACGCTTCGCGGCCTTACCGGCCTTATCGTGCGCGAGATAGGAAGCAATTCATGCGTTTGTATTATTTTACGGGAGACTTGCGACAAATGCATTTCTTTGCGTTGCATTCGACGCTCGCGTGTCTATTCCTTTCTCTATTTTCCAGACCGAGTGATATGTCACGGTTGCGTATCTGCCGCCGATCACTCGGAAGCATCACGATACATCCGTCTTATCCCTCCACCCCCTTCTGTCCTGCCGGCCCTACTCGTAAATTCATCCTTTATTCATCGTGTCGGGTGTACGTACTTTTATTTGTCCGCAGGAACGCGCGACGTTGCTTATCGTGGGCTCGGTTCATTTGGGATTGTCTCACGGATTGTCTGACATGTAAAATCGCGACGCGAATTGTTTTCTCGGTCTCAAGTAGAACAGGTACACCTAAACGCGTCAATTGAATATGATTATTACCTAAATTCGCTTCTTTTATATTTGACATTAATGCGTTTTTACAGCAAAATATATGATCTTCCACCTTACTTTACAATTTATTATATTTAAAAGCTGAATGTTACGATTGAATTATTATGAAAAGCAGGACATTATGATTTTATTTACAAAAGAATACTTGCCGCTGTAGTTGTTGTATGATGAAAAGCTGAACAATAACTTCTATTGTTGCCTTTTTTTTATTTATTGTACAAGTAACAACATTTTAATAATATTTTGCTTTCTATAAAAATTCAATCATAATATCTAGCTTTTAAATATTTGTGGTGCAAGATAAAAGCTGTGACATAACTATAATGTGGAATTATTTAACTTATTATTGCAATTGCAATGTAATAATAAAAATGATTGCCTTTTTTGTTTAACGTACAACAAATAGCGACAAATATTCTTTTACATATACAATCATACAATACTCTTTTTATATAATTAATCTTTACATAATTATTTTTTGTAAATTCTATCATGTAATTCTCAGCTATTATTATTTCACTGCAATCGCAATCATAATAAGTTAAATAATTCCATATTGCAATTACATTATGTTTATCGAGAAACCAGTGTGGATCTGTTCTACGTTTGTCGCGTGGAAATTTGTGCATACGTTTATACAACGCGGAGCTGCCGGGAAATGTAATTAAAACGAGCGCACAAGGAAATTGATTTTCATTCGTAATGCATTCGTAACGCAACTCGACTTGATCGCCGCTGAAAATATCATTGCGATCAGTAAGCGACGCCTGAATCCATAAAGATAATTATGTTATTGTAGAGGAACGCTTGTACAGCACACAGCGAAATATACGCCATGTACATAATATACGTCACATATAAATATTCAATACGCACACATGGCCCTTCCATTTGAAACACACAGCGTCACTTTTGATCCAGCAGTTAGGTCATCCGTCCAATGTCTCCTTTCTTCCGTTCCTGTCGTGCCTTTCATCATCCGTCCAATAAAACCGCGGTAATAAAAATGACAGTAAAATTGTGTTGTGTCGCCGACCCGTTTAACTGTTCCTGTCCTCTCATTATCGGACCCCGCTCTTCTATCGTGCGAAACAGTTGTGACAAGGCGTCGATTAACGACACAACGAGTGGCGAACGTCAAATTTAATCAGCTGATTGAGGAACCGGCCGCGCACTCGAAATGCCGCCAACGTTTATCTATCATAACGGCAGCCATATTACGTGCTTCGTAGAATAGAGACTCTATAATCTAGCGTCTGATTTTACCAAAATCTTACGAGAGAGAAAAATATATATATATAATTTCTTCCTGTATATATACCATCTCACTTATACTCTCTTTAACTTATACTGTGTTTTGCTCTATAATCTTAATTAAAGTTATAGAGTGAAACAAGTGTGAGTTAAAATGGTAAAAGTATTATATATACAAAGAAAATGTATATATACACACACACACACACACACACACACTCACACTCACACTCACACTCACACTCACACTTTTCTCTCTGATATAGGATTTCTAATCCTTCGCACGACAAAACGACGAATGCTTCGGGACATTTGGCTAAGAGAAATGAGAAAGGCAAATTCCATTGTTAATTAATATAGAGAAAGCAACAGTTTTATTGAAGCGTCTGAAAATTTAACTAGATGCAGATCTAAAAACCTTGGTCATAAAATAATATAATAAAACACCTTCAATTAATTACATAATCTTGAAGGTAATAAAAGGCAAAGAAGGTCTAAAAAAATATCCTTAGTACATACAGTTATCAGATACTGTTGCAACAAAACCGATCTTTTCATAATAGTTTTGCAGTTTGTTTGAGAATTGGGGGGAAATTGATTAAATAAACCGTACTACAGATGATTCATTCCATTTAATTATTCAATATTCTTTCGGATATTCTGTACATTATTCACGAAAGGATTCGGCTGATACGAATGGTTGCGCAGTCTTATATCTTTGGCAAAGTTTCGGTTCCAGTCGCTCGCCACTTCGAATTTAAGATACTTTTCGCACGAGAGAACAAGCGGAGTCGTTCGAGCTTAAATCCCTTAAATGTTCACGCAATTCGCGGATAATCATCACGAGAGACATGCGTTCTTACGCACTAAATGAACGATTACAGAGAGAGACAGGCACAAGCCGACACCACCGCCGAAACCGGCCGCCCTGGTGGCCGGTCAGTACGTATACAGGGATTTAGCGCTCACGCCGGAGATGTACAATCAGCTGAGAGGTCTGCAGAAGAAGGCGAAGGATCTCAGGCAAGAAGTGAGAAATTTGAGACGCATGTCGCAAGCTCAGGCTCACACAGTGCGTGAGACCATCAAAGACACGTTTATCACGATTAGGTAAGTATACGAACGTATCTCGCAATCGATTGAATAAATAAACGACGAGACTTTATAATTATAATATAAAAAAAAGTATGATATATGGATACGAATAAAGTAAATAAAAAATGCGCGACGTCATCCGCCAGTTTTATGTAAATATTACAATAATGTGTAATAATTTTAATATATTATAAACTCATATACACGCTTTAATAATTTTTATATGATATATTGTTATAATAAAATTAAAACGCATTTTCTCTCTCGACAATGTTTTAATAAAGGAAATACTGCTCAATGATTATTGATTGTGAATTCACACAATTACTGCTGCAGGGCCATGCTATTATCGGGAGGAGACGCAGTTTGGACGGCCGGGGATACGGAGAAGATTCGACTGAGCCGCGAGGAAGATCTCTACAAACAGGAGGTGATAAGGCTGGAAAAAGATCTGACGTGAGTATCGCCTCCCTAGAGACGAGAATGAAAGAAATGCCGCAATCAAGAGACGTAAACGAAACGATTTGCGAATTTCAGCGAGCTCGAGAGCACAGTGGAGGAGCTTCGCGGTAACGTGATCAATAGAAAGACGCGTGTCAATATGTCGGATGTGGAGAACATGGCTTTGATATTGAGTAAATCCAGGTAAGCCACGCGCGCGTTCAATCCCACTTGAGCAGAGCGTCATCACTGCCGTCG